TTAACTGTACCCCACAACTTCATAATAAAAAATAAATAAATAATTAAAAAAAAAAAAAAATCAAAGTGCAACCAGGGTCTACCAGACATTTAAGCAATTACCCTGAAGAAAGCAATCACTATTGGAGTTTGACATACTCCCTACAATGATGGAGAATGCACTGGAAGCAGGAAGGGTCAAGGACAGTAAGCCCTGCTAGGGACTTGCACAGTGGCCCTGAAAGATTAGCCATGAAGATGGAAACAAGTAGAGAGAAGCATAACATACCTGTGGGGTACAAAGGTATTGACACCCAATAGACCACACTGTATATAGATTTGAATCTCATTTTTTAAAGCTCCAAGCTAAGGAGAGATTTAGGGGTCTTCAGAAGGGATTTTGATGTAAGCCTTAGGAGTGGATGAAATTACCTGAGAGAACATGCAAAATAAGATGCGAACCTGGACAATGAAGAGCCCACAACTGAAGGGAAGTCATAGAGGCAGGAGAAAAGACAGAAGCTGGTATTGTCAGGAAAAAATGAAGGAATAAGGTAGAATAGTGATTCTCAATGTGAGGTCTGTATACTCCTAGGGTTCCCAAGACGCTAAAAGGGGTTACACACAGGCCAAACTCTCTCTGCATTGACACTAAGACATGGTTTGTCCATTTCATGTTCCATGAGTGCAGAATAGAGATTACAGAGGCTTTAGGACAGGGGCTACTGCAACTGATTGAAGAAACAACCTAATAACATTTCTGCACTTTAATTTCAAATATAGTACATATCAATCCGCAAATGTAAAAGTTTTTGTGTGGGATGTTTCTAAACAATTTAAGTATAAATGGATCCTGCGATCAAAGTGTGAAAAGCACAGCTGCAGATGGTTTCAAGGAGAGAATCATTATGAGTGTCAAATGTTACTGAGCTGTCAAGGGAGCTAATCATCAAGAAGTGGCTATTACACTTAGCAATGGACTTGTCTCACTTGCAGAGGGTAACTCCTTATATAGTGCAGCAGAAGCATGGCTCCATGGCTGTGAGCAAGCAGGAGATGAGAAAGCTAAATAAAGAGTGTAGGGACCATTCTTCCCATGAGGTGCCAATCCATATCAACCCAAACCTATTTCCTCCTCTACTGCCCTTGGTAGAAGAAGAATAGCTATCACCGCAGTCATTAACTGGACATTCTCTACACCATTTCGAGCCGACTGTGTGCCATAACGTCTGCAGTTTTATTCAACCAACCGCTTCCCAAAGCCTAATACCTGAATCACCCCAGTGGAATGTCACTAAAATATGTGCCATGCAGGTTGTCATGGCAACAGTGGGTCGGCCTATGCTGTTTTTAGCCCTTTGTTGTTAACAGGTCAATGGGAGGGCAGAGAGGCTCTTCTGCAGAATCTTAAATGGTGTTTGCTGAACCCAAATGTGAATCACAAGAAAAGAAATCTTTCCACCAGAAGCAACCACAGATTACAAATTAATTCTCCATAAATGCACAGATGCCGGGCTAGGATCATAGGAGTCATTTTCTTATTAGCAGGTATTGGCTAGTTGCCTCTCCAATATACAAGTCGCTTCTTTTTTTATCCAATAGTGTCTATTTTTTCTCTTAGGGGCAATTTACAGCTGCCTTTATGTGAGTGAGTCATAATCATTTTGTAAAATATCCTCTGTACCCCCATGATAAGGAGTTATCCTAATTGACTTAAGCAAAGCAACGTCATATCCCTCATCCCCAGACTTGAATTTCGATTACATCAAGGATGGTTACATGTGCAGAAAAGAGTTAATGTAGTAGGCCTGAGACAGTTCTTTTTGAAAGGCCTGCTGCAAGGTGGGCTTTGGGTTGCCGACTGGAAACCTGTGTAAGGGTTTCCAGCATTCCCTAACCAATAAGAGTGGTACACTGTGCCTTTGGACAAAGCCTGTAGTTTATGTCACACACCTGCTTTCTCCCTAGGAGTTTGAGATAGGCAGAACATGCCTATATAGCCAGGTTTTACTAAGGACTGTGGATGCTGAGGTGCTAACGAGCTTCCCTGGTAGACATTTCACAAATGTTGTTAAGGAAGATGCTGGAAAAAGTGATGTCTCCTTTATACCTTCAATGGAAGGAGATTCTTGAAAGTTTCTGCCTACTTTCCAATGGACTTTGCCCCATGTATTTTTTTCCCTTTGCTAATTTTACTTGATATCTTTTCATTGTAATTGCTGATAACCGTGAGTGTGCCTATGTGCCGAATCCTTTGATTACTGCAGGAGAATCATTGGTAGCCTTGGGAACCCACAACATAGTCTATTATCCAATGTAAGATGATAAAAGAAAGAGTAACCTCCAGAACATGGGTAGGAGCTGTCAGAAGAAACATTCTTACACAAAATATGCAAAGGAAGCAGAGCCTGGGACTGTCAAAGTCATATTGCCACCACCAATGAGGAACTCAGAGGTTACATGTGGCCTCTTGTAGAGTCTGGGGAGGTAGCCAACACCATAGAAACTACTGTTAAAGGACACTCCTGGACCTACATAGCTTTACACTACATGAAGCATGTGGAAGAAGGTTTCATAGGGACCCATGAGGTCTCATGACTTATGGTTTAAAACTAAAAAAAAAAAAAACACGTCCATCTCAAGTGAGGGGAGAATGAACCACAGAGTCTCAGATTCTTATAAACAAAGGAAAATGAAAAGAATAAAAGTGATGGACACGTTATTATTTTATAAAAACTGACCAACTACAGAAAATTTTAAGGGAAGCATCTGTTTCTGAAACATTTTTCAAAATATCAAATCTTTATGTAAAAACTGCCTAATGACAAGAAACTAATTGATTTGATATTTATCTATAGAGTTAGTGAACAAACATCTTAACAAACAAATCAAATTGCAATCACTTCCCCAATTTTGCCTTTGGTGCTGGATCCATTCAGTAACCCCACATTGAATTTTTTCCTGTGACTTAAAGACAAAATTAAAGACCATGGCTTACCACTCTGCAAAGCAAACAAGCCTGTCCTTTTCCTAGTTCAATTTTCTATGGAAATCCTAAATAAAACTTAACTTATACAAACATACCAAAGCATACCAAGGCAAAACCAACAAGAGCTGCCTCTTTCAAAGGACACTGCCAACTTCTATTAAATTATTCCACCATCTTATCTGAGATTATTAGGAGTCTTTAGGGGACCACCACTCAGGCAAGTGTGACCAAAAGGTAACTCTCTTCTATCGTAAAGACTCCTAATAATCTCAGATAAGACAGTGGAATAATTTAATAGAAGTTGGCAGTGTCCTTTGAAAGAGGAAACTCTTGTAGGTTTTGCCTTGGTATGTTTTGGTATGTTTGTATAAATTGTCTATGAAAGGTGAAGATGGCTCAGTCTGTAATCCCAGCACTTTGGGAGGCCGAGGTGAGTGGATTGCCTGAGCCCACAGGTT